AGAGGCAATTATGATAAAGATTAAAGCAACCATAATGTTGATGCAGCCCAAGATTAAATTGAGTTTGACACCCCTGCTCTAAAGTCAACAGCTAGTTAGAAAAATGATGTGGCCTCAAGGGTGAGAATCAAGGTCTCAAAACTGCTAAACTGCTCATTCTTTAGCCAGAAAAGCATACTCCAGATTCAATTTTGTTATTATAAACCAGCTGTAAAAAAGAAATCCACACTCACCCATCCATCCCCCACCCCTCCTCCCCACTCTGATTTGTATACTTAGCTTTATATCTTTTCCCCCTTGAAAACAGTTTTGGCTGGACATACGCTTTAAAGTATGTCCATAGCCAAAACTGTTTTTGTTTTGGATAGCAAGGATTAGAACACCCATCAGGTTTTCCTTCTACTTCGATGCTCCATTAGAGAGACTTTCCAATAGGGAAAAGTGCAATAGGGAAACAGACAACAATAAAAAGGTGCCAGAGATTCTAGCATTCCGTTACTCACCTTTACAAATACATTTTTACTTGTGTCTGTGTTGCTGCTGGAAAACTTCCTGTCTAGTAAAAAGGTTATCCACAGGACAGGAAGTAAGGGGAAATCTCTCCTATGCATTCTTGTGGCCGGAATCCCAGTTGTCCCGTTCACACCGCCAGTGTTTCTTGCTCGTATTTGTCAGCACGGAAAAACTCAGCACAAGCCTGTAAGTATGCGCCTCTTTTTGGGGAGATCAGCGCGATGTGACCCTTTTTCCTATTCCTGATCTGCCCATAAAAGAAGCCCATGCACTTTTTTCCAGTGACCGGCTTTTTTCTCAGCGTGACGCAATGCTGAGACATGAACGGGGACTATAGAAATCAATAGGATTTCTTGTGCTGAGCTTTTCCATGCTGACAAATATGAGCAACAAACACCTTGGTATGAACGGGGACTTAAATGCAGTCGCTGTACCCATTTACCGTGTTTCCCCGAAAATAAGACAGTGTCTTATTTATTTTTTAATGACCGGGGGACAGTGGCCTTATCTGTAAACGGCAGTCTGCATGTAATCATATGTTATATGATTACATGAGGTTTGGAATAAATCACTGTCCCTGGACATATCTATCCTCTAACACAGTGGTACTAAATCTGTGTAACTTCAGAACCCACACTTGTTCTTGGTCATTAAAGTGCGACCCAAGTCGCACCGCACTGGAAAGCACGGCATTGCAGCACAGCACGTTCCGGTGCAGGCAAATGGCAACGCACCAGAACCTGAGGTAGGTACGATTGCATGGTACAGTGCGTTAATCGCACGGGTCTGTGCAATTATGCACTGTACTAGTGTGAATGGACCCTCAAAAACACTGACAGACACACACAACCACAGACATTCTCACATACACACACCAAACGGAAAAAATTTATTTCACATACACACGCCAAACAAAAAAAATGTCTTTTTTTTTTTTTTTTGATCCACCCAGTCTCCCTACCTTATGAGAACTGGAGTGGATCCTCAGCCTGGGGTCCAGTGTTGGCTGCTGTGCTGTGACGGAGCCCCATCCATATGTGTATTGCTTCTACAGCTCCCTTGTGTGCCCTGTAGAGGTGCTGGGAGCCAGAATGTGGCGTCACTCCAGTCCAGACACCTTTACAGGGCACGAGAGGGAGCTGTAAGCAATGCACGTACGGATGTAGCTCCCCTCAGTCATACCCCCAGCCCACCCTATCTGAAGCTGACACTTGTTGTTGGGCAGCATATTTTGAACTGACAGGGCTGGACTAGGGGGACGCTGAGGAGCCTCTCACCTACAGCAGTAGAAGGCATGTGACGACCCAGCAGTTGAGAACATTGGCTCTAACAGGTACAGCGGCTGCATTTAAACGGGACATTTGAGAATCCCAAATTGCCCAGACTGAATGAGGCCTAAATAAGCCCCTGACAGCAGAAAAACTTGACATGGAGTTGCGACCCTTTAACCACACTATTCAATGCTAAAAAATGTTTTGGCTACAAATAAACTTTATTGTTTCCATTACAGCAAGTTAAACGTCTCCCAGAACATAAGACTATATGGATTTTTTTCACAAAGGAATGAAGAAAGAGAAATCTACCATATGGTTTATCAGCTGCCTCATTAAAATAACTTTGATTAAGAACCATTACTGAGAAGCTGGCACGCCTAACATACAAAACATTAGGGACATTTTTAATGAAGCGAAAGTAGTTCTACAAATCTTTATTTCGTTTGTGCTAAAGATAGAATGTTTATTAACTCATTGCTTTCAAGAACATTAAACATCTACAGACATTCTATTAAACATCAAACTAAAAACTTGCTGATAATGAACAAGAATAATTCATACTCTGAATGTAATAGGTGTGATTTGTATTCAGGTTAGAAATCAGGTTCAATTAAAAAGCAGAATGATGATTGAAAATACTAAACTAAAAATAGTTCATTATTATTTTTCCCAGCGCAGTGAGAACAGTTTTAGATTAAAGTCTGGTGTCTGAACGCTTTAAAGAAGCCCGGGGAAAAATGTGATTAACCCTTGCAGTGGGGCTACCCCCGCATTGCAAAGGGTTAACTGCTCGTTTGTTTCCAAGTGCTAAAAAAAAAAGTTATACTCACCTGATCATTCCAGCCGATTTGTTCTTAGACCAGGTCCCTATACCCTCTCTCCCCCTCCTCCTGCAGCGGAGTGAATCCTTGTGTCATTGCGGTGTATACAAGTGTATAGACGCGAGGACACTGAGGAACATTCCATCTGTGCAGAGGAGGTAGAGACAGAGTCCACTGACCCAGCGGTCTCATTCCAGAAAGCGGACTGTTCCAGAAATTCAGGAAAAAGCACACATACAGTAATGCCCACTACATGATCTTTAAATGTAATCATTCTATACATGAAAGCTAGAAGTACCATGCTGTTCTAACACAAAGACATGGTTGTTTCCCTTCTCTTTGCTGCTCTTCCTTTTAAATCTGTATCTGTTCTCATGCTGGGCAGAACTTCTGTTTTGCAGCAGACTGCCTTGTGTCTGAAATGGCTACATGGTGTCTGTGTGTACGTTTGCAACCTGAGCCAGCACTACAGGAAGAGGCACTCAGTATAACACCCTTAACTAAGGGAAGATATGGAGCTCAGCTGCGGAACCCCGTTCCGCCTTACACACCCGAACCCAAGGGTATTGTGCAGCAATGAATCTCGCCACTAGGTTCTAAGCATCATTGTACCAATCTCCCAGAAGGTAAGTATCAGCCGCTAGTTTCTAGCTTCTATCTATGGTTCTTAGCTGCCTTAGTTATGAGGATAGTACAGTATGATGTGGCTATCAGGAACATAGGGTATGGTGGCAATGATGGTAAGAATATTATCAGTGGTTTGATCAGAAGCAATAGGTAGTTCCTCATTCAGGTGAGTATATTGCAGACGACCTGCCAAGCAGACCGGGTAGAGTAGTAATAGGTTCAGTATACGCAATAACTGTCTGTTCACGTCACAAATCAGTATTGGTAGTATGGTTAGCAGAGTGCTGAGAGGTTATGCATACATTACAAGTTCATAGTCCTTGTTAACACAGTAATCACCGCCAATGAACAACCACCGGGTGGCAGCAGAGAGCTCTAACTCAGTACTTGCAGTTAGAAGATAAGGAAGCTGATCCTCCCCTGTGCCGTGAGTCCTGGAGTGTACGAAGAGGCTGCAGTGAACGGCCAGTGTCCTGCCCGAGCAGCGAGGGGAGGCAGAGCAGCTGTGAGGAGAGGTTGGGTAGGTAGTCCCTGCTATGCTGAGGTGCCAGTGTCTGTTTGGTGTCCGCATCGGTTGCTGGAACGCCAGATAAGTGAAAGATTCCGGCTTAAGACGAAAAGGGGGCGGGGCTACGTGACGTCAACGGCCCGGGGGCGGAACCCCGCAGCGTGTCCGTGACGTCACACGGGTGAGCCGCCGGGAGCCGTTACACTCAGCTGCAAAGGGAAGTTCTCCCCGAGCATGAGAAGACATGAGGATTTCAAAGGAAGAGCAGCAAAGAGAAGGGAAACAACCATGGATTACAGTAAGGCACACATTACAGTATTGGTTTATGTTAAAAAATCTGAGGGTTTAATGTCACTTTAAGACACATACTTTCCATTGCTGCCCCCTGGCACAGCATCTTTCTGCCTACCACAAACCCCACCACATTGTCTGCTGCTCCTCACCCCTCTATCCCACGCTGCTGTCCCCTTAAAGAGGGGGGCCAGAATAAATAAGTGTACCATGCTTGGTAGTTCAAGGCCTGCTTTAAGGACTATTTCATGTGAACCTTAATGCAATCAAAACATACACATTGCTATCCCTTAACGCTGAGCTCCAGGCAAACATCTAAATACATAGAAGGGTACTACTGCAGTTCAGTAACACTTACAGGTTCCCTCCGCACCCCCTCTGTGACTGAACAATAAAAGGAAAAGCAGCAGAATAGTGATCTCATCTATGACACTCTGCTTTTTGCTCCTATCAGCATGTTCTTTGCACTGAAGCACAACTGATTGACTTCTCGTGTTGCATCTACCTAGAATTCGGCTTTAACAGGGCCTTATACTTCTATTTCTGTTTAAATTTACAGTAAGCAATTGTATTATTCGAAGCAGCAAGTAATCTTTGTTTTACATCTGATAACTCGTATATTATATGATCACCATTAACATTCATTTTCTCTTTCTTTAAACACTATCATATTAGCCTTTGGCATCTATATAGTTTGTAATCTGTCCTCCCTTTGGTTTAAGATATATGCACTGAGAAAAAATTACAGTAGATATACAGTATATTATGATTTTGAAGACGTCTTCACAGGGAGTGTAAATTTAGACTGAATTGAATTTTCAGGATGGTGTGTATATCTCTGTATAATATCCATATAACATACTCCAAACAAGCCAATCCCTCATCTGTTACCATGGTAGCAATAAGCTATTACTCTGTGGCATCTATTCTCAGAACCCGTCTGGACAAGTCCCCCTGATAGCATACCTGTATTATTCTGAGGAGAGCAGACGCTTCTTCGATTTTGCATCATCTTATGTTCATTCCCTTCTTTTCGAGCTCTTCTCTTGCATTCTGCTGGATCCCTGAGTGTCATCAAACCATAGCATTAAGAAGTGTAAAACAATATTTGTCCGCTTCAATCAATTGTGTACAACATATAATACAAAATCTAGTTTATCTTTGATATTATGAAATGTAATTTCATGCTCAATGTTCTTAAAAATTACCTTTCCATTTAAAGCTGTAGCTGCTGTAATGTTCTAAATCTGTAAAAAAAAATGTCAATGGAATATGGTGACCTGGAGGCATTCCCACACAGTTGGTGTACTAAACGCCTCCAGAAATGTCACTTTCTGCTTCTGTGATTAGCTGACTGATTTTCCCAGAAGTCTGCACTAGGATACAAGTATCATTTTTGGCATCACTTGCAATAGGGATACTTCCTAAGGGTTATTCACTACTAAAGGGTTGCTAACACTGCGCCTTTCCCTTACAACACAGGATGCCCACTAGCTGATTATAATGAACCCAGACCCTCCCATTCAGGGATCGGTTTGGAAAGGACATGCTGAAAGAAACAGCTTTTTCTTCAAAACAGAAACATGTAGGAATCTGTGATCAAATCCTTGCACTGTACATTGATCATTTAGAGAGGATTGATTTTTTTTTTCTCCACAAAAGCAGAATTACTGTAGAAATAATTATGTTGCACTGACATGACCATATCTATGGAATAGTGCAATAAGTGAATTGATTGGTGGGTATTATTTGCTTTACCGAAAACAAAATGTGCAACTCTGGGCCATAAGCTTTGTATAGATAGATAAGTATAGGCCATAGGACCAAGAGTTCATATAACCTATATTGACAGTTTGTATACATATATATGTATGTGTGTGTATGTATGTGTATGTATATATATATATATAGTCTTTAAAATATTTCTTATATATTGTGTTTTTGGAAATGTGTTTTC